GGCCATGTCCTCTAGTCCAGATTTTACATCTTCACTCAGTTATTGAAGAAAACACTTATCAATCACCTCCAATATTGGGCCTCGGAAGTGTAGCAGCAAACATAGCAGACAAATAGCCCTGTGTTTGGGAACCTGACATTCCAGAGAGAAGCACAAAATATGCAACACAAACACTAAATCAAATAATGTATTAGAAGGTGATAAATGCTGTAGAGAAAATAAAGCAAGAAAGGGGGAAGTCGTAATGACATTCTAGAGAGGTGGTCATGCCGCCATCTGGAGAAAGAACATACAAAGTAGAGGGAACAGCCCTGAGGCTGGTTGGAGAGTGCCTGGTATGTTCAAAGAATCAAAGGCGACTATGATGAATGGAGTAAGCCAGGGGTACAAGAAGAGATGTCAGGAAAGCTAGATCACGGGGACTGAATTGTTCAAGACACATGGGCCATTGTAGGCATTTTGGCTTTTACGTTGAATGGGATGGGGGCCACTGGAGGGTTGTCAGCAGGAGTGAGACCTGATATGACTTACATTTTGAAAGGATCTCATTGGCTGCAGAAAGAAGAACAAAACAATAGGGAGGAAGTGCAGGTAGGAAGCTATGGTAATCATTCAGAAGAGAAGTGAAGCTATCTAGGATTAGGGTCATAGCAGTAGCTAATATGTGGTCAGACCGCAAATAAATCCTAGCATGGAAAAAACACCAAATACGAGTTTCAGTTTTACAGGTGGCTGAAAGACAAGGAGAAAGGGAATTGGAGAGGTTTTTGTTCTGAACAACAAGAAGAAGGAAGTTGTACTTTCCCAGGAAGAAAGCTCTTTGGAAGGAGCAGGTTTGGGAGGTCGGATGGTCGAGAACTTGTTACTGCACATGTTAGAACAGTGATGCCTCTTAGGCACCAAAGAGAAGGTGTTGAGCTTGTTGGATATACAATTCTTAAGTTTAGAAGAGAGGTAGGAGTTGAGGCATAACTTTGAGAGCTAATAATCTATAGAGGGTACTTAAAGCCATAAAAATTGGGAAATGAAAATAGAGAAGAGAACCAAAGACTAACACTGAGGCTCTCCAGTGTTTGGAGGTTGGATAGATGGGGGAGAGCAAGCCTGAAAATAAATAGAGAGGAGAACCAACGACTAACTCTGGGGCTCTCCAGTGTTTGGAGGTTGGATAGATGGAGGAGAACAAGCCTGGACTTTCCTTTGTTTAAAGGAAAATGAAAAGGAATTGATGGTGGAGTAAGAAGAAAACGAGGAGGATGCAGTGTCCTGGAAGCCAAGGGACAAGAGTTTCAGGGAAGAGGGAGTCAGTAGGTGCCTCAGATATTCCTGTTAGGTCATGTAAGATGATGCCTGTCAAATCCGCACAATGAGGCAGCTATTACTACTATTTTACAGATGAAGAAACACAGGCACAGAGACCAGCTCACAAAGTAACTCAGGTGTTTGTGCTTTTCACCACTGTACCACATATATATGGTGGCTTCTGTTTTGTCCAAGATGATTCCATGAGAATACTTGTGCTATTAATACAACCCAAGTGCACTCAGCTGTAGGGTTTATGTGGCTCTGGGATGTGGGATAAAGAGGTTCCTTGAGATTAACAAAGGAGGATTCCTCTTATGGCTATGCTATCTTCTATTGAAGAAGTACATGTCTTTGTAGTGAATAAACTCAAATATAATATCTTTGTAAGGTTTTTTTTTTTTTTTTTTTTTTTTTTTTTTTTTTTTTTTTTTTTTTTTTTTTTTTTTTTTTTTTTGAGATGGGGACTGTTGGTGACTTCCTCTGTCAATCGAATTGACTAATAATTTGTGAGTTCTTGTGGCCTCTGATTTTCCCAAGTTCCTTTGGAATCCTAGGTACCAAAGGCTACGAAAAAGGGTATCAGAAAACCAACAGACTAATGGCTTACAAATGAGGAGGTTGAACACTTGCCTCATAAAAGTGCTGAAAGATTAACTAGAGAGTATATTTTAAAGGGTTAACCTGGTGCTTGTTAGATATTAAGTGTTTCCTGTAGGCGACTATTTGTGTCCTCAGAAGTTACTTGTGTCCTGTGTTCATTCTGAATGAACTGTACCAGTTATGCCTACTCTAATAGATTGGTGCCAGTGATGTGCTGTCTGTTCAATTTTTTCTGGTCACCCCTAGCTATACAAGAACGTGTGGGTCTGTATACATGTGAGAAAGTGTAAATTAAGAAGCACCTAAGGTTATTCTATTTAACTACTGGAAGAGGGCACTGACATCATGAAATCATAGATTTTTGAACCTGAGAGGTTATATTAATGAATTCAATACTACTGTACTCAGAATCCAGGAAGCTTGTTTCTTAACTTGATGTGCTAGGCAGACCTTAACGTGGCCCCAGTGATTACTACATCATGGTATTCTCACCTTTATATAATTCCCTTTGCTTGTATGGGGCCAGGACATTTCACTTGCTTGTATCCAACAGAATATGGCAAAGGTGACAAGATGTCACTCCCATGATTACATGATGTTATATAAGACTCCATCTTAGCAGACTAAAGATAAACACTCTTCATGTGGGCTTAATGAAGAAAGCAGAAAGTTGGAGAGGTTTACATAATAAGGAACCATGAACATCCTCTAGGACCTGAGAATGGCCTTCAGCCAACAGCCAGAGCCCTCAGTCAAACAGCTATAAGAAAATGAATTTTTCTAACACCTCGAATAAGCCTGAAAGTAGGTTCTTCCCTAGTCTACCCTTCAGATAACATTGCAACCTGAGGCAGGGCGCCGTGGCTCACGCCTGTAATCCTAACACTTTGGGAGGCCGAGGCGGGTGGATTGCCTGAGGTCAGGAGTTTCAGACCAGCCTGGCCAACACAGTGAAACCCTGTCTCTACTAAAAACACAAAAAAATTAACTGGGCGTGGCGATGCATGCCTGCAACCCCAGCTACTAGGGAGGCTAAGGCAGGAGAATCGCTTGAACCCAGGAGGTAGAGGTTCCACTGAGCTGAGATCCCACCACTGCACTCCAGCCTGGGCAACAAGAGCAGGCTCCATCTCAAAAATAAATAAATAAAAAAAAACTAATTAAAGAATACAACTTGATCAACCACCCAATTGTAGCCTAGTGAGACCCAGAGAAGTAGAACCAATTAAGCCAAGCTGTGCCTGGAGCTCTGAGCCACAGAAACTGTAAGATAATAAATGTGTGTTGTTTCAGGCTACTATGTTTATGGTAATATGCATGCAGAAATAGAAAATGAATACAGTTGGCAAAAAATAATAAAGGCTAGTTGGATGACTATACAAGAATTTGGCGGGGAGTAAGTATTGAAAAATGCTTGCATTACAAAATTTATCGTGAGAGTAAAGATAAGACATTATTGTATTGAAGAATAAGAATACTCAGAAAAATCTAAGGAACAATGGAAAAACATCCAAAAGAATCATGCAATGTGTAAAGGATGTGGAAATTAATGGGAGAAAACTAGATGATGTAATTGGTACTGCTGAGATAATTGGTGACATAAATGGAAAATAAAATTGGAGCAATATCATGTTTTAAATTAAAAGAAAGCACAGATAATAATGCAATAATACTGCATTTTGTCAAATTTAAGTCACCATTGGTACATTTATTTTTGTTCCACTAAAAATCAATTAATCAACTGATTAACACATCAAACTGAATAGGTCTGAAACTAAGCTCTTGAGCTCTACCACCTCAAAACTTCCGCCCAGAGTCTTTCCCGGTTCAATTGATGGAAATCTCATTCTTCCAAACACTTTGCATTTTTTGATCTGGAATGCATCATTGTCTGCATATTCAAAATGTGTGTAGAATCCAACAGCTTCTCACAAGGGCCACGGTTACTTTTTGGCTTAGAGCTGATTCCATGTGGTTTTGGCTACCAATATGTCCTGCCTGAATTTCTGCAGTAACCTTTAGCTTTGGTTCCTTGCTTTTAATCTGTTTTCAATACAGCAGCTGGAGTATTCTCATCATACCACAAATAAAATCACCCCCTCTTCTGCTCAAAATCCTCCATGTGATTCTATTTTTGGATTAAAAAGTGAGGTCTCTGTAGTGGCCAAAGGAAATGAAATGTGTAAACTCTTTACCTTGCAATTTGCATTTCTTAGAGATAAACTCTGAAGAAATAATTCCAAATGTGGACTAGTGTTATGTTAAATAGTGTTCACTTATCAACTTATAGATTGTATAATAACTGACATACATAGTTTATATACATCTCATAACCAAGTAACATATATAGTCCATATATAGATATAATAACCGAGTAACAAAACAAAACCTCACAAATTAAATATCCAGCCACAAGAAGATTTTTCAGCTAAATAATACTTCATCTACTGGATATGTTGGAATCTATTGGATATGTTGGAATATAATATGTATCCTTTAAGAATCTATATTGTTTTATAAGGTTCACAAAGAAATTCACACTTTGTGAATCTTATAAAGCAATATGGAAAAGTATATACTGTCAAGTTAAAAAATATACAACACAATATATAAAGTATAGAACTATGCAAAATATGCATATGAAATAAAGGCAATAACATTAAATTATAGTAGTTGAATTAAGCTTATTCAAATCTTTTTATTTCTTGTTTTTTGAAGTATCTGTGATTAGTTTTTCTTTTTTAAGTTAAGCAATACAATTATGTTTAAAATATTACATGCAATAACAAGCAAGACACATAATACTATGTGTAGACAATTCAGTAGCAATTATCAAGAATGTAAACGCATATAGATAAAGATTGAAAGGCAACTGTCAAAAACAAAACTCTTCTTTTTAGTAATATTTATTTCCTTCATGTTTGTAAAATATGTTAATTTTACTGGATTTATAAAAAGAAAACAACTTAAAAGTTACAAATTCATTTTTTATAGTAATATGTTGACAAAAAGAATTCACTGTAAAACCCTAAAACCAAGCAGTTGAGGTTGAATACCTTTCCTGGGTATGAGTCCCTCATCCACTTGCTTATCTTGGGCGTACTTCCTCTCCCTTGCTATGGGGCCCAACTCTGTCTTGGTGGCCATTGTGTTTCTCCTCTATTGGTGAATGGTTTTCACCTGTCAGAGGAATACATAGTTCACACACATCAGTTGAGAGAAAAGGACTCCCCTTTAAAATGTTTAAACAGGGGTATCAAGAAAACAAAAGCTGATCCATTCCGTCTGGTTGGGGACAGGGAGGCTCATTATTCCCTCTTGGCTCAACACAACAGGCATACTGCACCTAGGGTTTGAAATTGTTCATTAGGATCTAGAGTGCTCTCAATGTGCCAGCTTATGAGCACTGGCTTTAGAGTTAAGCATTCCCAAGTTCAAATCCAGGTTCATGATTTACTGTGCCAAGTGGCACTAGGAACACATTTGTGTGTTTCAGTTTCCTCATCTGTTGTTAATAACAACATCTTCATCAATAAGCTGCTGTAGGCTTAAACAGATTGCACATGCCTAGAACATTGACAGACACCCACAGTTGATTGTCATCATCACTGGAGCTACCACAACAGTGGGTCACCTCAGAGCTATGCTCCTCTGGAATCCTCTACCTGTACCTGAGAACCTGGCTTCTACTGCCCTTGACAGCTCCCACACTGCTTCCTCATTTGACTCACTGCGAGTATTGCTGATATGTGTGTCACTCATAATTGGGAACCAAATTTGCGTAATGAGGAGATAACATTCAAATCTCATATTATTATTGTCCATTGGTTGGTATTGTGTCTACAGAATTCTTGAAATAACATGGAGGTTGCAACCTTTTTGCATATAAGAAAACTAAAAAGAACCATTACTACATTACAATACTAGGATCTTTAGTGGAGATTTTTATGTGTTACTATACGTAGAACTGTAATATTTGTGCTATGTTTAATGCTCATATTATTAAATGTATGGATCTCTTAAAGAAAAAGTGTCAAAATGTATAAGTGCTTCTACCACTAATAAACCAAACTTTTCGGCTTAATAAATTAAATCCTCTTAAACATCTAAACACATCTCACGCCAGTTAGAATGGCAATCATAAAAAAAAAAACCTGGAGACAACAGATGCTGAAGAGGATATGGAGAAATAGGAACACTTTTACACTGTTGGTGGGAGTGTAAATTAGTTCAACCATTGTGGAAGACCAGGTGGTGATTCCTCAAGGATCTCGAAATAGAAATACCATTTGACCCAGCAATCTCATTACTGGGTATATACCCAAAGGATTATAATTCATTCTCTTATAAAGACACATGCACACGTATGTTCATTGTGGCATTGTTTACAATAGCAAAGACTTGGAACCAACCCAAATGCCCATCAGTGATAGACTGGATAAAGAAAATGTGGCACATATACACCACGGAATACTATGCAGCCATAAAAAAGGATGAGTTCATGTCCTTTGCAGGGGCATGGATGAAGCTGGAAACCATCATTCTCAGCAAACTGACACAAGAACAGAAAGCCAAACACTGCGTGTTCTCACTCATAAGTGAGTGCTGAACAATGAGAACGCATGGACACGGGGAAGGGAACATCACACACCAGGCCCTGTTGGCGGGTGGGGGCATTAGGGGAGGGATAGAAGAGGGTGAGGGGATTGGAGAGGGATAGCATTAGGAGAAATACCTAATGTAGGTTACAGAGCAATGGATGCAGCAAACCACCATGGCATGTGTACACCTGTGTAGCAATCCTGTATGATCTGTACATGTACCCCAGAACTTAAAGTATAATAATAAAAAAAAAAATCTAAACACTAGTACTTAACCAGAACTGGCCTGATATCATTGTTGCAAACTAAGGAATAACTTTTAAATATCTTTTTATAATAAAAATTTTATTTTTCGGAGGTATGTTTCACCAAGAGAGGATGGCTTGACCCTGTGCAGTGTGCCTCTTTGTTAGGACATGCAGTTAAACTCTCTCTGGCTGCTGTAACAATTAGTGTTGCTTCCCTTTGCCACTTCACAATAGTGTGTGGTTACTATATGTGGTTAGTCTTTTCCCTTCTTGGATCTTACTTTTCCTCAACTTCTTGTGCTACCTCCAGAACCCAAATCCATCCATTCTTTATGAAAATAAATTTTATAAATAGGCATGTGTACTTTAAAACAAAACACAGAACATCCTTCTATTCTCCTCTACATATTCAAATTTATTTTTAGAATATCCTTAGTAATGTCATCCTCCTTGTATTAGTACCTTTTTACATTAATGTCTCCTTTTTAGACAATCATTATGGGATCATGGTTTTAAAATGGCTCAATTTAAATGTGATTAATATTTTCTTTTAATGCTGAAATAATCCTACTTGGTTTGGGATCAGGTTCAGAGTGTGGCCTTTGGATATCTCCTATGTCTAGCCATTTAAAATAAATTTAAATAGCATTATTGATATATAACTGACATACAATGAACCACATTTATTTGAAGTGTGCAATTCCTAAGTTTTGAAGGATGTATATACTTGTGAGATGGTTCATGCAATCAAAATAGTGAACAATATACAATTGGCCCTCTGTATCTTCAGGTTCACATCTGCAGATTCAACCAACCATGGATCAAAAATCCAGAGGGAAAAAAAATAAAAATAACAATACAATCATAAAAAATAATACTAAAAAAAAAAAAACAGTGTAATAACTATTTACTTGGCATTTACATTGTACCAGGTAAGCAAATCTGGAGGATGTATATAGGTTATATGCAAATATGACACCACTTTATATCAGGGACTTCAATATCTGTGGATTTTGGTATCTGAGGGCATCTTAGAACCAGTCCCCTGTGGATACCAAGGGACAACTCTATAGCATCCCAAAGGTTTCCTCGTGTTCTTTTGTAATGTCTTCCTGCAGAGTCTCCTAGTATTTCCCTCGTTTATCCTGCCTCACCACCTCTGGCAAGCAATAATATACTTTCTCTGATATAATTTATGTTTTCTAGAAATTTTGTAGAAATGGAATTGTATGAATCTGTTCTCATACTGCTAAAAAAAGACATACCTGAGATTGGGTAATTTATAAAGAAAAAGAGGCTTAATGGCCTCACAGTTTCACATGGCTGGGGAGGCCTCACAATCACGGCATAATGCAGAGGAGAAGCAAACATACACCTTACATGGCATCAAGCAAGAGCGCTTGTACAGAGGAACTCCCATTTATGAAACTATCAGATTTCATAAGACTTATTCACTATTATGAGAACAGCACAGGAAAGACCCACCTCCATGATTCACCTCCCGTTGGGTCCCTCCCATAAGACTTGGGGATTATGGGAGCTACAATTCAAGATGAGATTTGGGTGGAGACATAACCCAACCATATCATTCTTCCCGTGGCCCTTCCCAAATCTCATGTCCTCACATTTGAAAACCAATCATACCTTCCCAACAGTCTCCAAAAGTCTTAATTCATTTTAGCATTCACTCAAAAGTCCGCAGTCCAAAGTCTCATCTGAAACAAGGCAAGTCCCTTCTGCCTATGAATGTGTAAAATGAAAAGTCAGTTAGTTATTTCCCAGATACAATGGGGGTACAGGTATTGGGTAAATATACATGTTCTAAATGGGAGAAATTTGCCAAAATGAAGGGGCTACAAGCCCCATGCAAGTCCAAAATCCAGCAGGGCAGTCAAATCTTAAAGCTCCAAAATGAACTCCCTTGACTCCATGTCTCATATCCAGGGCACACTGATGCCAGAGGTGGGTTCCCATGGCCTTGGGCAGCTCTGCCCCTGTGGCTTTGCAGCGTACATCTCCCTCCTGGCTGCTTTCATGGGCTGGCATTGAGTATCTGCAGCTTTTCCAGGTGCACAGTGCAAGCTGTCAGTAAATAAACCATTCCGCGGTCTGGAGGTTTGTGGCCCTCTTCTTACAGCTCCACCAGGCAGTGCCCCAATGGGGCTTCCAATCCCACATTTTCCTTCCACACTGCTCTAGAAGAGGTTCTCCGTGACTCCATCCCTAAAGCAAAACTCTGCCTGGACATCCAGGCGTTTCCATATATCCTCTGAAGTCTAGGTGGAGGTTTCCAAACCTCAATTCTTGACTTCTTTGCACCACCAGGCTTGACACCATGTGGAAGCTGCCCAGTCTTGCAGCTTGCATCCTCGGAAGCCACGGCCTGAGCTGTCTGGAGTGGCTGGGACTCAGGGCACCACGTCCCTAGGCTGCACACAGCAGGGGGTCCCTGGGCCAAGGCCCAGGAAATCATTTTCTCCTCCTAGGCCTCTGTTCCTGTGATTGAAGGGGCTGTCACAAAGGTCTCTGACATGCCCTGGACATATTTTTCCCCATTGTCTTAGTCATTAACATTCATCTCCTTGCTGCTTATACAAATTTCTGCAGCAAGCTTGAATTTCTTCCCAGAAAATGAGTTTTTCTTTCCTATTGTATTGTCAGGTTGCAAATTTTCCAAACTATTATGCTCTGCTTCCTTATGAATGCTTTGCTGCTTTGAACCTTCTTCCACCAGATACCCTAAATCATCCCTCTCAAGTTCAAAGGTCCACATATCTCTACAGCACAGCCAAAAAGCCACGTCTCTTTGCTAAAGCAGAGCAAGAGTTACCTGGGCTCCAGTTGCAATAAGTTTCTCATCTCCATCTGAAACCACAGAAACCACATCAGCCTGAACTTTATTGTCCATATCACTGTCAGCATTTTGGTCAAATGCCATTCAACAAGTCTCTAGGAAGTTCCAAACTTTCCCACATTTTTCTATATTCTGAGCCCTCCAATCTGTTCCATCCTCTGCCTGTTACCCAGTTTCAAAGTTGCTTCCACATTTTCAGTTATCTTTAGAGCAGCACTCCACTCTACTGGAACCAATTTACACTACTGTATTAGTCTGTTCTCATGCTTCTAATAAGGACATACCCAAGACTGGGTAATTTATAAAGAAAAAGGGATTTAATGGACCCACAGTTTCACATGGCTGGGGAGGCCTCACACTCATGGCAAAAAGAAGGAGCAAAGATGTATCTTACATGGTAGCAGGCAAGAGAGCTTGTGCAGGGGAACTCCCATTTATAAAACCATCAGATTTCATGAGACTTCATTACCATGAGAA